GATAATGAAGGAGTACGGGAGATTACTTACATATAAAACAATGTGTCCTTATGCTCCTCTTTCATCCCACCCCTAACTTCATACTCTTTCCTGTCCTTCACACCCTCCCACTGTGTTTAGCTCCTCTCCCTCCACTCAACCGAATCTTCCTGTCGTCTCACTCACCCTCCCCTGACCTCCTCTCTCCTCATCTGTGGACTTTCTCCCTTCCTCATCTTTCATCAACTCTCCCTCCCTGTGTTCCCTCAAAGCCACGTCCCTCTGTCCTTCCTCCACCTCTAATCATCAGAGCTCTCTGTTGTTTTTCGGTCAGACATCTGTGTAAATGCACGTGTACATACGTGTGTGCCCGAGAGTGTGCATGTGCGAAAGAGTAAGTTGACTCTACGCTGTTTTCATATCCCTCCGTCTATTCCTCAGTCTGTTTCCGTGTTTACCTTTGAGCACCCAGGGTAATCATATTGTCACAGACTATTTCAGGGTTCCCACTCAACCTTTCTCTATCCACCTCTCGGCCTCTCTTGTGCTTTTCCACCGCTCACTTTTGCTTTTCATCCTTACTGCACGATACTTTCTTCTCCCTTTACTGTCTTCACCTGTCTTTCTCTATCCTCTTTTCTGTTTTTGCTTGTTGTTTGCCTGACTCCTTCTTTCTCCATCTTTCATTCCTCTCTCTGGCTTTCTCTCTCTCGCGCTCTCTTTCTCACTTGCCCTCCTCCCCTTTTGCTTTCTCTCCCTCTTTCTGCCCAAAGTTCTGCAGCCCAGCTGGCATGGTTTTCTAGTGGTGTAGTAAAATATAAATATAATAAGGACGTTTTTGAGCTGGTGAATCCATTCTGAGCAGAGAAACATCACCACAGCGCCCGCAGATGTGGCACACATTCAGGAGAGAGAGAGAGGGGGATGGAGAGAGGGAGGAGAAAAAATCCCTCATTTGACATGGAGAGAGTACAGCAGGAGCACTGACTGCATTATTGTTGGCATTACCAAGCTACTGGACTTGTTATTAGGACACTTCATACAAATTTGCCTCGAGTCTTCGTCAACAATCCTAAAGCAAGTCTCCAATCTTTTGAACATGAGTCTCACTCAACCCTCAAGTCTTAATTTAAGACTAGTCTTTTGAAGGAACTTAAAAAAAACTTTCCATATGTAATTAATAAATATGCAGTTCTAGTGCAATTATGAGGGACGTTTGACTGCTCTCTGAGACAGACATTTGATTTGCAGCTGCATCTAGACTGTTACACTGATGTTAGCGAGCTAATGAATGAAAACTATTTGATTCTCTTGTATTCTGTTCAATTGTATTATTTTCTATTCTCTGAACAACAGAATTATTCCCTGAAGGAGTCTGTGCATATTTATGTGTGGCAGTGTAAGACTGTGTTTGCTTGTAATAATCTAGTTTTGTACTCATGCATTAATGCTTAACCTAATGCTGCATGCGTAGCTGTTTAGGCCTACTGCATTTTGATGATATATGCCTGTGGATACTTGCATTCCTCTATTTGTACATATGCATGTGTATTTGCATGTGTATGTGCATGCACATGTGCTTCCCTCTCTCCATGCATATGTGTTTAGTGTCAGAGCACGGCATACTTCAGTCCCCTGGGCAGCTCTTTTGTTTGCTTTAGCCGTGCGGTGGCTAGCCTAGCCCGCTAACTAAGACACATTTAGCCTGTGCTCCACTTTTATATCGTCCTGCTTTTATTTTCCTTCTGTCTGCTCTCAGACCAAACACACTGTATAAACTGGCCTTTAGCAGGACTAGTATCGGTGCCACTCTGAGCCACTGATAGACAGATTTGGTCAATGTGGTTTTCACTGGCTGCCATGCTAGCTCCGGCTTAGCTCCTAAACTGCTCGCACTGGCCAAGTGGCACTCGCTGACAAAAATGTATGGCAAAATGTGTGAAGGCTGCAGTTAAGTGCATCACATTCAGGAAGTTATGCTCCCCTTGTCGTGGAAGATTGAGGCTTTCACGTTTTAAGACAGAACCTCTCTGATACTTAGAAGTCTAGTGTATAGAGATGTAGTGTTAGGTGTTTATTGTGGTCTGGGGTTGGACGCTGGAGTGTGTGGAGGGACAGGAGGAGGAGGAGGAGGAGGAGGAAGAGGGATGGTGGTTTTAGCCACCAGCTGTTGTTACCTTGAGCATAACGTACTTTAACCCCCATTACAGCGATCCACCACAAGCCACAAACACGCTAGCTTCCACTGACTGCAAAACAACCCAAACTCGCTTGTTTACCAGCTAATGTGCCATGCCATTCACTCTCTCTTACTCATTCAACCCCTCTCCCCTCTTTCTCTTTCTTTCAACTTCTCAGTTCACATCTTGCTCCCTCATTTCCCAATATGTTCTCCTCAATCCCTTTGTACAATTTTCTCGCCCTCTCTCATTATCTCTGTCTTTCTGTATCATTCTTTTTCACATCCTCCCCGTCTCTTTTTCTTCATCTCCTTCTTAGAATTTCCTTTTATCTATGTCTTCCTCCTTTTGCCCCTCTCAGAGCCTTTGTTGGTTAGGTCTCCGGGTATGCGTGGGTAACCCCGGTGCCCATGTAAAGGCCCTGTGCTGTGGACTCATAGAGCCCCAGTGTCAGTAGATGAAAGCAGAAGGAGATTCTGGGGCTGGCACCCATCTCCCTCTGTCCTGCCACCGTGGCCTCTTATTTCACAGAGAAAATTAATAACTTTAACAAACATCAATGAGCGAGGGCCTGATGCTTGGTCGGGTTGTCGGCTAGCCTAGTGTATGTGTGTGTGTTTTTGTGTGTGTATATGTGAACATATGAGTTTGTACTTTGCACACATGCCTGGATGTGTGTGTCTTTGTGAGGCTGCATGTGCTCATACCTTACAGTATGTGAACCATGTCATGTCAGGAATAGACGCTGACAGGAATGGTGTCAGACAGAGAAATCGACAGGTTGATGAATAGTAACAAAGAAAGTTTATATTTTTTGGGGAGGGGGTGTGAGGTTCCACTTTGGTTTGATCTGATCAGATTGTTGCCTGCTTGAAAGGCCATTTCATGAGGCAAAGAGGAATTGAAAGACGGATGGATGAAGGGAGGGATGGATGGATGGGAGAATGTGACCACTTCTGAAGCATTGTCGACAGCCACGCTGAATAGGCAGCGGGCCTGCCTGGAGCCACGCCCGTATTTATGATCTTCAAAGGAAAGATGACACACACACGCACTCACGCACACCCACAAAACGCTGATAGTTACAGGAAAACATATGCCTGTGCAAACGTGGGTACACACATATTTGCATATAGATTTCTGCTCACGAACTCACTCATAGATACAAAGCTTTTGTCGAAAACAGCAACACTAAACGAGGCAGACAGAAGTACCAGCACTTACATTCATATAAAGGGTCACAGCAGCTCTGCAGTTTTGTCTTTAAAATGAAAATCCACCTATATAGCTGTTTAATAGAGCAAATGGTAAATGCCCTGTACTTAAAGTATGCCGTACCTTTTACCTGAGAACAGTGTAAAGCACCTAACAGTACTTTACATACTGTATACCACTGCTCACCGCAGTGGAGCTGCCATGCAAAGCGCTGGGTTGCACATGTGTAGCTGTTTGTGATTTAGTGTCTTGCTCAAGAACAGGAAACAGGTTGAACCACCAACCCTTGAAGGTATAGTTTGATATTGTGGGAAATATTCTCTCTTTCCTGCAGAGCTAAATCACTCTCATTTCTCTATAAAAAATATGAAGCTAATGCTGGCAGCTGGTTAGCTTAGCTTAACATAAACTATCGCGTTAACGGTCAACATGTTCTACCACTTGATACTCTGCCACTGACTGATGAAGCTAAAAGCTCCGCGAGGAAACTTTTTAGCTGAGGGATTTTACAAGAGGTGGTCAATGAGCGTACCCTCCGCATACCTTTGGTCATTGAGCGGAAAAAGAGAGACTTCTGTGACACTTTGATACAAATGTAAAAGTATCTCCTGTTTCCCTTCTCACTTAAAAGTAAAGAGAGGTCCCACTTCTATGATGAGGTGAAACTTCATTATCAAAGCCTCTCCCCCTTACAAAGCTGGAAACAAATTCAGTAAAACACTGACACCACTATGACTAACTTTGATTTTCTTTAACTGGCTTGTATGTCACGCGCCAGTATAGTTCTAATGAATTTACACAAGTTTCAGTTGATGTTCTATTTCAGCTAAAAGGTAAACACAGCTATAGATGGCTGTTTACTGTGAGTGAATCTCGCTCTTTGCCTTTCTCTGTTCCATCAAGAGACATGAAAAGCGGTGGCGCAGCAAAAATACTTTATGGTGTTTACGCTCACAAATAATAAAACATAAATTGTGGAAACCCTCAGCCTTGTACAGTTCAGTTCATTCAAAGGAACTTGCCCTGAGAAACAGGGGTGAGACCACTGATTTTCTGCTGGTAAATATTTGAAGAGCTAATTTGGAGGGGCTGCGTTTGCTGGTGTTTAACAGTGTGTGTGTGTGTGTGTGTGTGTGTGTGTGTATCAGCCACACAGCCTGCAGCCAGACAGCCAAAAGTTAATAAATTTAAGATGTAATTATTTGTCCATATTAGGAAACTGGCATAAAGTAATTAATCTTGTCAATTAATTTTTTCTAAACACAGTTGTAAGTAAGCAGTCATTGAGGCAGCCAGCCAATCGTAGATTTAGTCAGTCAGCTGAATAGCAAGTCAAACAATCTTTTTGACCGTCAGTCACTCAGTGAGTCAGTCAGTTATTCCGCCAAGCAGCCCCTCAGCTAGTCCACCTGTAACACATCCAGGCAATCAGTCTGTCTCACAGCTAGTAAATTACCCCATTAAACAGCCAGTCAACCAGTGACCCTTGATCTTATTTGATATTGGAATGCAGTTGGGGAAAAAAACCCTAGTGGCTGCATTCTCAGGGAAATTGATTGGTTTAATTGATTGTGATTGCCTGTTGTTTACAGTCTAAAACAAAAAAGCACACAGAGCTGTCAAGGGCACAGACAGAGACAAAGACAGCAACTGGAAATGTGAAGTGGCAGCAATGAAGGGCAAAGCTTATGTTTGCTGCTTGCCTGCCTGCCAGCAGAGTGTGGACAGGACTCTCCAGTGCGCCCTGTGCCCAGGAGGGGCGGGGTGGGTGGCAGAGCAGGGACAGAGGGAGAGAGGAGGGCAGGACTGGCAGGGTGCGGTCTGAAGTGGCAACAGATCGTTTTGGATCACTCAAATCCCTTCAATTCAACTGGAAAGCTGCAGCTTGTTGCGCGCCGGCCGCATATGGAGAGGAAAAGCTTTCAATCCAGAGAGGGCACCAACCAAACAGCAGGCGAAAGTGGCTGATGTTGTGACAGTTTCCCAGAGCAAAAGAAAGAGAGGGAGAGAAACCACAACACTGCAACTTGGATATCAGTAACCGCTCTCTCTCTTTAACTCTCTCACCCACCGAATCGACTTTGAACCTGTTTGTTTAAATACACGGACTTTACAGCCTGCACACATACTGTTGATTCTGTAAGGCGGAGGGAGCGAAGTTTCTCAATTTGGGTCTTTTTTTTTTTGTTTTGTTGTTGGAGCCGCTGAACTTTTCGGTGTCCTCATGGTGCCCGGTGCAGCCGAGGTGCTGAGCTTCTTTTATCCGAGTTTTTCGGACGTCATGTTGCGACTGTCACGGACGATGGAGTCGGGTACTGAACCGGGGAGGTACTGAAGACATCTCTCTCCCCAGGGAGAGTTCTCCCTCCCCTCCCCCCCCTCCCTCCGGGGCGATGCGGATCTCCTTCTTCCTTCTCACCGCCTCTCTGTGTGCCTTGGTCCTCCTCCTCGCACCTGCCTCGGAGGGCTGCGGGCCGGGGAGGGGGTACGGCAAGAGGCGGCCCCCGAAGAAGCTCACACCGCTCGCCTACAAGCAGTTCAGCCCCAACGTCGCCGAGAAGACCCTGGGAGCCAGCGGGAGACCCGAGGGCAAAATAACGCGCAACTCCGAGCGCTTTAAAGAACTGACGCCGAATTACAACACAGACATAATCTTCAAAGATGAGGAGGACACGGGCGCCGACAGGCTCATGACCCAGGTGAGGAGGGGAGATGAATGGATGCAAAACGTCTTGCACGGATGCGCAAAGATGGATCACGGGTCCTGGGGTGCTACTGCTTCATATATACCATTGTCCGTTGCTTATAGTGACAGAGTTGTCAGTAGACTACAGCAAACCTGTTCCATGTGGTTGAATGAACTGAGTCACTTCGGTCCACTGTTGCATCCAGTTGTCTGCTGAATGTTTGCTGTCAGTTAAATGTTTAAACCAAAATGATTGATTTCATCGACTGTCGGGCCTTCGTTTCACCTCTGGATTTTCCTACCTGACATACTTAGCTGATGATATTGAATTGAGCTATTGCGTTTACTCCCAAACTAAGCCTTATTTTGTTGGATAGTCTCAGTCATCGTAAATCTGTACAGTTTTCCATTGGGCACATTGAGATGCGTAAAACCCACAACTTTTAGGGAGGATATATTTAACCTACCAATAAAGTATCTAAGTTGTTCATCTTGAATTTCATTTCATAGTCTTAAGGCTGGTTTGGCCCACAGGTAGACACCTTTCACCCATGTGCAATTGTAACTAACTGGGTCAGTGGCTGCTTTACGCACTGCGCGGCAAATCTCTACCCAGCCTTGTTGCGTGAGTTGGGTGGCACATAACATAAATGTGGCATTCATTCATTCATCCATTCATTCATCCATTCAATGATGGGCAGAGACATTACCTGCATTAAAAATGATTTGCTTGTGATTAATGTGATTAATCAGATTTGAACACATAAAGAATCTGGAAAACTGCGAAATCACTCCAACCAAGCACACAGGCATGGTTGTGTGTAGTTTTACCATTCACCTGACAAACTTCCCCTGACACCATTGTTATATATAGTTACCAAAGGAGTTAAATTATGCCCTCATCACTTCTGTCTTAGAAACTGATGGTCATGTCCTCTGTTGTTCTTCTTTAATCTATCTATTTCCTTCTTCTGTCGTTCCACTTTCCCACCTTCCCAGTCCCTCCTTAATGTGATGGAACTGTTGTGAAAAATTGTCTTTTCCCCGAATCTGAACTTAGTATCTCTTTGCTGATCACATGGCTGTAACCATTCCTCATACTCATCACACCATCCGTCTCACTCGCTCACTCTTTTCTTCTCTCTTCATTTGAACTTTCTCTACATCAGGCCCCTTTCTGAGCTGGTTCTTGATTGTTTGTTTCTAACAACCATCTCTTCTCTCTCCATTTCTTTACCTCTCTGCAGCGTTGTAAAGACAAGTTAAACTCTCTGGCCATCTCTGTGATGAACATGTGGCCAGGTGTGAAGCTGAGGGTGACAGAGGGCTGGGATGAGGACGGCCATCATTCAGAGGACTCGCTGCACTATGAGGGACGCGCTGTCGACATCACCACATCAGACAGGTAGGCATGTAATAAATACAGTAGATAATGTGGTGAAAATAGGCCAGACAAGACATAGGCCGGGGCAACAGCTTCTTGCAGTCTCTAAGTTATGACAGTCAAAAAGTCAGCAAGTCAATCAGCTTATCAGTAAAGTGATGAGCCAACAACTGAGTCAGCAAACTAGCCATGTATGTAACCAAATTCCTCCTGAAACTACAACTTTTTAGAGCCTTATGATAACTACAGAAATGTCAAGCTAAAAGTAATGGAACTCTGTTGGTTTTTGGAGAAATACTCCTTGTTCGTCAAGCTCTGATTTAATCATATTGGACGTTAAGAATTTCTTTTCATTCCTCTTCTCAGGGACAGAAATAAGTACGCCATGTTGGCCCGGTTAGCTGTAGAAGCTGGATTTGACTGGGTCTACTACGAGTCCAAAGCCCACATTCACTGTAGCGTCAAGTCAGGTAAGAGATGGATATGAGCTACAGTGTGTGTGTGTGTGTGTGTGTGTGCGTGTTTGTGTGCACGCATTATCTGAATGTGTGTGTTTGTATGTTTTTGTTTTCGTGGCCAGCTGTCATTACCACTAATGAGGTCGATGCTATAGGCCCTTTGTTGGTGATTCACTAGCTTGCCTTTCTGTGCCCGTATCATCAGTCTGAGAGTGTTTGTACGTGTGAGGCCTATTGGGAGCCAATCAAGACAGGGTGTGCACCTGTGCTCTTTGCTGTGTTCACTCTCACTTCTTGGTCAAATGTCATCATAAAGCGATCAGTCTTTGTGACTGTGGAATACTAAGGTGTATAATGTATCTGTAATGCAGATACTCTCCTTTTTGACGTGGATGGAGGCCCATGCTACGTTTAATGGTGGGACAGTGCAGTAACTGATATTATAGCACATTTCTGGTCAAAAACAAGTGGAGTGATGTCTACTGGATAGAATAAAAAACAATTTAAAGACACATCTGACTCTTTCTGCATTTCTATGATTGCGTGTTTCATTTTTTCCCCCAATTTTATTGTTGTTATCAAGTTTCTATAATTTCTCCAACACACATATTTTATCAAACATAAATCAGATATAGTCCTTATGCAAACATTACTTGACCACATTCCAGCTTGAGCGATTCTAACTTTTGAGACATTTTAGAAATCCATTTACCCATGTCTGGTACCACCAGTTATTTGATGCCAAACTTCATACTAAGCAACCTGTCGAGATTAGTAGGCTGTGAGATGATTAACTCTCCCTTTGTTTTGCTGTTGCTTTTCCTTCAGCAGGTTTCTCTCAGATCTCTTATCTGAGTCTTATCACCTCCCGGTCACAGCCCTCCTTTTCTGCAGCCCTCAGGCGCACAGACACACACACCTTGAACAAATATTTGGCTGCCTTAACGCTGCCTTAAGAAAGCCCTCCCACAAACACACACACATTTGATGAAGAGTGATGGGGTTCTTGTTTCAAACTGATTTGCCTACAGGAGTCTTAGAAGTCTTGCTTAATATTTCCCTCACAATTTCTTTATTCCACTAAGGTTTTTACCAAATGATCAGATTTCAGTGTTGGGATTCAAACTCCTTACAGTGTGTTGGTGCTCTTTCCTTGTGTGGACCCATGACTGATCATGTGACTCAGTTTAAAACTCAAACTCTGCTGTAATCCAAACAATTTCTCGACCCAGGTCTGAGTCTGTGTACTTTCCTGTCTCTCTGACCCCAGGCCGTGCTCTGACTGTGGTGATACAATCAGCTGGTTATCCATTAGCTCTTGCTGACTACCTCTTCTTGCCACTTCGTCTCAGTGTGTCTTAAAGGGCCACCTCATTCAGATATGCTCAAACAAGATCAAATGCAGAGCCTGTGGCAACGTCGGCAGCCTGAATGAATGACAGTGGCCCAACAAAACAGAAACATGTTTTTCGAATAATATATTGTTCATGTCATACTGATGACCACAATGCTATAGTGGGTTTGACAAACTGAATAGAGTAGCAGGAAAGACATGCACGCCATAGCAATGTAAAGGGGCAACTTGTCCCCTTTGACAGCATTATTCGAGAAAAAGTAGACGAAGGGGTTTTGATTTTTGCCAGTTTGTTAATTGTTTTGTTTTTCCAACACTTTCCAGTGATGCCACTCAGTATTTGAGCAGCCTCAGAAAAAACTTGACTCATTTTGAAAAACTATATAATGGATTTTGAGTTAGATTTATAGCCCTTATATAGGCCCTTCATGTTACTGATGCTTAGAGAAATAATAGTGAAAGAAATCGCTAATGTAGAGGTGGAGGAGGTTGAAAATGCTAATCTTTGATAAAGATTTCTGAAGTGTGTTTCTATGTGTGTGTGTGTGTGTGTGTGTGTGCGTGTGTAGAGCCAGAGGCAGACAGCCAAGGCAAGGTTTGAACCTGAGCCACATTATATGCATATGTTAACAATCTACCACTGGTCCACTGAGATAATGTTGTCCATGAGTCAGTGTCAAAGTCTCACCTGCTTTATAGATCACTCAGTGACCTAGAATAACCTGCAGATGTAGAAGTTCAAGTGCTACTGCTGCACTCTCGCTCCACTCATGAGAGGAGCTCCAACTGTGTTCCTGTGTTGTTATGTTTTATCTCCTTATTCTTGCAGCACCAAGGAATAATAATGATAATAATGCAGGAAAAATCTTGCTCCTCTTTCTTTCATCTCTCCAGAACATTCTGTGGCAGCCAAAACTGGTGGTTGTTTCCCTGGCGATGCGCAGGTCATTCTCGAGGGCGGGGCTACTAAACAGATGCGCGACCTTCACCCTGGTGACCGTGTCTTAGCTTCCTCAACAGAAGATGGCCACGGCCCTCTTCTCTACAGCCCGGTCTTATCCTTTCTGGACCGCCAGCCCAACGTTACAAAAATCTTCTACGTCATTGGCACCGATGCAGGACTTAATATTACGCTCACAGCAGCTCACCTGATCTTTGTCACAGACTGCACTGGCGGTCAGAGAAGTGAGCCAGGGTGGGAGGAGACGCTTGAAGAGCCACATTTGGGCTCCATACCCAGGCCTAGCTGGGAAGCAGGTCTGAGGACAGTCTTTGCCAGCGAGGTCCATCCAGGACAGTGCGTACTTACTCCGCAAGGGAAGGTGAGGTCACAGACAACATTTTCAGTTGTGACCTCTGTGGAGGAGCGGAGGAGCACTGGACTGTATGCCCCCCTCACCCAACATGGCTCTGTAGTGGTGAACGGTGTGCTCGCATCCTGCTATGCTGCAGTGGACAATCACCATTTGGCCCACTGGGTCCTGGCTCCACTGAGGTTCTTCTACAGCCTGATAGGCCCTTCAGAACCGCAGACTGACGGGCTGCACTGGTTTCCTTTGCTTCTACAGAAGCTAGGGCAAATGCTGCTGGACGCTGGACACTTCCACCCCTGGGGGATCGAGCAAGGACGCAGATAGGAGCCACAGTGATATGTTTCACAGCAATGACTTCATTCAGTTACCTGTATTCGGGAGCACTAAAGCACAGAACACAGCTGTCTCTCTCAACAGAGGAAAGCGACTGTGGAACCACCAAATACAACTGATTTTACAGTGTAAATGTATTTTACACAAACTCTTCTCGCCTATATTTGCTGCTCCTTTTTTGTAGCGTGAGTTAAATTGTGCGAGAGACAAAGAGAGGAGACTGAAACGATTTGCTTTAGTCTATTAACAATTTCTAGAGACTGAGGTGTGCAAGAAAATCAGCACAATTGAAAGTCAAAATAAAACTTTTAGCTTGACTACCAACATAAATACTGGTGTAAGTATCACCCTCGGTTCAGTCCTCTCACCTTAGAGATCACAAACAAAGACTGTGACTCAAAATGATTGCTTTTATTAAATCAAAAAAAAGTGGCTAGTGGAGTAAGACAATCAGGTTTCATCATTCCTTTGTTCTGTATTTACTGTAATCTGTGTCAACATTCATGCATTCCATTTGGAGATCAAGCTGATCCAGTTAGAATACATTTTGACATTTGAGGAAAAAGGTGAAGCATCATGAAGAAAACTAGAGAGTGAAGAAGGTGTGAGTTGAAGCTCTGTATGTACATAGGTATTTATACGGTTAAGTAATGTTAAGAAGACAGAATGACAACAAATCAACTTTGCTCTGTGTACTGTCAAAATCATCACTGCAGTAAATCCACTGATTCTCTGTGTAGAGCCTATACTATGCTTGATGGTGGGGCACTGCAGCTTCACATCTGAAAAAGGGCTTTGTTGGAAAACTATTGAATTGCAGGGAATAATGATGGACATGACAATTGTGTTGCAGTGTTTTTAGCTCTTCCAAGTCTGCCATTTGCTCTCATCCAACTTGATTGTCTCAGACTGATTCATATGGTTCATTTATACATTCCTTATGTTTTTTATCAGGTATTTTGTGACATGTTTTTCATGGTTTCAGGTTTTCAGTTTTCAGGTCAGTAGTATCTAGTTAAGGCATACACAACACTCAGGCTGTATTCAACTACTGTATTAAGCAACAGCTATGCATCATGATAAATAACAGTTATCTTTAATCTTGAATAGTAAGAGTTTGTTTGATAGCTCTCCTTTACATTATTCTTTTTTTTTTTTGTATTCCATCTATCACCCAAGACCTAGATTGGCAGAGGTACAGAAAATCTTTAACATTATGATAAGTAGATCTAATTTTGTGATATGTGGCTGAAAGGATATGGATTAGGGCTGAATGATGTGAAAGAAAGAAAAAAATCATATTATTTTGACAGATTGCCATTGGGATATGAATCACAATTATAGCGGGAAAAAAACACAAAATGATGATAATGTGATTTTTGATGGGGGTTTCTACCAAACAATAATGTTCCCTTAAATCTGGAGAATATGATTTGTTGGCAGGGGGAAACCTCTGTAGCACCACAATCCTTCATTTATGGCATGTTGTGACACATTTTACCTTTATAAAAAAATTGCAGCTCCTGCTATTTGAATATTGCACTTGGCCATATTGCCATTTTGATAATATTTTGATGAATTGTTCAGCCCTAATATGGATACGCATGTAGCTCATATTGCCCAAGTGTCCTGTCAGGAAACACTTGTTGAGCATGTTTTGTGAAGACTCAAACATTGCAGTTATCTAGGAACTCCAAGGCTTTTTTCGATATGCCTGCTCAAAGATTTGTTAAATATGTATATTAAGCTATTGTTGGAGAGACTATTTAAAGATCTATTTTTTAGAAAATAATGTAAACTATTATTATTTTTGGCAACTCTGTGTATACAATTTGTATTTGTAACATAAAGTTGTTGTTTTTAAACCAAAACCACTCTGTGCATTATTTGTTACCAATAATTAAAAAAAGATCATATGCCATACCATTACTAATTACTAAAGTGCTAAGAAATACTCTGTACTCTACGTAATAAAGTCCCTTTTTATTTACATCACGCTTGCTCAGAATCACCAATAACAACTGGGTTTCGATCATGTCATCAAACCGCCCATAGCCAGCGATCACTGTCAAGTTTGACATTAGCTGGCACATTGTGAATCCAGCATGAATAGCTGTGGTTACAGGGTGGGCTGCTGGTTGGTTTCAGTACCACGGACAGCAGCACTCAGCAACACTCCTCTTTCCTACTCTTGATGCCTCAAAGTGTTTTCTTTTTTTCTAGGATGGAGAGTAAGTCTTTGAACACAGCGCACCCTGCTGGATGCATCAGTATTTGCAGAGAGGACATGATGGGAGCAAAATGACAACATTAAGAGTATTCAGCACATACAGCAGAACACTTTTTGTTTTGTCTTAGCTGCCACTTACTTTTCTACTGAAAGCTGGGAGAGGAAATTTTCCATTTCACATGATGACTGACCAAGAACAATGATCATAACAAGAGCTACAAAAGATCAGCAAGCACAAGGAGATTCTAAGTCATCTTTATTATTATCGGTCAGTTAGGTACAGGAAAAACCTTTTTGTTGTATCCCATAGCTCATCGCAGGAGACCGTACTGATCCGTAAAGACAGATAGAGAACCAGACCCAGGTAAAACACTCACCGAGTTACACATGGAATTTGAAAACAAACTGTGATTGGTTTACCTGAATGCGCAGGTGATGTTCTCACATGTGAGGCTGTTTTTTTTTTTTAAAAACACATGAAGAAATCATGCACATCTCAAGAAGTTAAAACATTGAAAGCCATTGGAAAATAGGTCCACCTGAGTCTGGTGGTTTGAAATGTATCTCTATGTGTCCTGTCTCCATGTAATCATGTTTAACTCTCTTTGGACTACGATACTCCGGCAACATTTTGAGGCAACGCTGATGGAAAACCAGCAATTTTAAATCAGGACTAATTTGAGGGGGAATGGTGGAAAAAACATACAGCATGTAACTGCCTGCCACCCCCCCTTACTAAGATTAAGAAAATAAATAATAAAAAATAAAAATTGCCTGTTTCAACTGCCTCATAAGTGACCCAAGTATCATCGTCTTAAATTAGGGGTGTTCACACAACAACACATGGGAAGTCAGCATGCTCACAGTAACTCACATACAGATATGAATGTCTTTATAGAATATGTATCTGTCATCACAGCTTGGCAAAATTACACTTATACACAACAAATGCACAATAACACCTGGAACCATAATACCAGCCAGTGGAAAAAGACCCAAATACGCTTCAGTTGTCTTTGTCCAGTCAGAAAAAGCTTCCTGTTAAACGGACGGCCTCATCCCCTGGTAGGTGGTGGTGATATCGTCCAATAACAATAGCCTATAGATAAAGAATTTATGTTTCCAAACAACCCATAAACACACACGCACACAAACAATCGCACACACATACGTTTTCTCTCACACTTATTACATGTTAATAACATCATGAGAAACGTGAATCTCTTTTGAGTCAGTGACTGAATGTGAGATAGCTTTAACTACCTACAGAATGCGACTATGTTGAGAGCAGTAAACCTGACAGAAGTACAAAACACTCCATAACATCCTCTTGTTGGCAATTATGTTGACATAGTTACATTAGGCTATATGTAATCATTGCTTGGCAGCATACAAAAATAAAAGAAGTTGCTCTGGTGCATATTCTGAGTCATCTGCATTTGAGTTAAGTCGTCTCTATGCAAACAGAAGGAATTGTTTATCGGCACATTTTTTTTTTTTCTTAAACGAATGAGGCTGGCTCAGTTATTATATATTGATTAGCATTAGGGTGTTACTGTAACTGTATCTGCTTAACTACTATACAACCAGTAGCAGCTTCTCATTGGTGTAGTTTGTTGGCTAGCTTTATAGCAAGCCTGACTAATGCATATTTGGAATCACTTGTGAAAAGACGAATGTCAAAAAACACGCCTGTCAAAGATGATTTTAGCAGTCTTGTTTCTCTGCTCTATGGGGCTCTGACACCGGTCGTTCTGTTTGAATTGATTTTCATACTGTATTCCTGCTGTCCTAGGCTGGTGTTTGATGACCAGTTAACTGCATATGCATTTATTAGGATTTTAACAACAGTGTCACTCTACCTATACCACCATAGACTCTAAACTAATACAACAACCAAGGGCCCATGTTTCACAAGTCAATAATTAAAGTAGGAATAAAGGATTGGCATGATGTCAGGAGTATGATCACCAGTCTGAGAACCTCAGGATTAATTAAATATGTGCAGTTTAGCTGATGAGACTTTGGCACCTTGTGTGCTCAAAGGTCTTTTCGCAAATTGACTGAGGTGAAGTAGCCAGCTGGGGATTTCTAAACATAGTGAAGACTCTACTCAGTCAGTGTCAGTGTCCTTTCAGCCTGGTTTTAGTAATTATACCCCCTCAACCTTTATGAAATAGGTTTTATATATATATATATATATATATTTATATGTGTGTGCGTATGTGTGTGTGTAAGGGATACTCTGCTACACTTGGCATTGTCTTAATAATTTCACATAGTTCTCAATCTCTCAATATCAGATGAACAAAAGCACGTCTCAAAAGACATTTTTTCTGTTATGGTGATGAAATATGATGAGACATGACTAAAAATAAAATGTCATAATGAAATTACAGTGGTAGCCATTGCGGAGGTAGCCCATCCCTGCATCAACCCTGTATGATCAGGATTCTCTGATCAATTCCTCTGGTATGGAGTAGCGACATAGCAGCAAGACAAACTGGCACCTGTGAAATGGCTACATACATCTGTAATTTGTAAATGTTGGCAGAAATCCACAGAAATGCCAAGATCCACTTTTAGCACAGTGTAGCAGACCTTAGAAATGCATGGTTTCAGCCAGGGCTGTGACAGCTCTGCTTCTATGGCCAAAGTCCTAGTAAAGATACAGTATCAGGGCAAGAAAGGGCATGAAGGAGAGAGGCAAGAGGAAGAGAGACATAAAGAAAGAAGCTGGAATGACGTCTTGTCCTCCTCACTCACAGCCTCTGAGTGAAGTTTTCAGGGAATACTCCTTTAGTGGCGTTTTCTTTATTCTGCTGCCAGTCGCCCTCTTTCATTCCCATCAGCCAGCCATCATCCTAAACACACAGACATGCAAATAATCACCTCAATAATAACAGAGCATACCAGTGTGTTTGTGTGTGTGTGTGCATACCTGTTCTTCAGGGTTGTCAAAGGGGATTACTAGCACCACATCTCCAGCCTTCATCTCCAGTTCGTCTGTGTCGTTCGCAGCGTAATCATGCATCACCTGGACCTACATCATATATACAAACATGACTTATCGCCTTATAGAAAAGTTATATTTGGGGTTAAGTAGATGTTCTGCACACTTGAATCCTTTTTTGTCCCATATCCTGATTTACCTTAAACATGAAGCCAGGGGGCATCTCTGCAGGTTCTGGTGCTGCTTCTGTTGATTCTGCAGGTGCAGGTGGTGCAGCTGGTGCAGCTGGTGCAGGTGGTGCAGCTGGTGCAGCTGGTGCAGCTGGTGCAGCTGGTGCAGCTGGTTCAGGTGTCTAGACAATGAAAAGACATAATTGAGCCCTTCTTCAAAAATGAGAAATAAAGTGAAGCAACAGAACTTTATATAAATAGGTGCCTGTATCTTGAAAATATACAAATAACTTTATTCTAGAAAAATCTTAATTTAATTATGGATTAATTAGAACAAATGAGATGAGATGGATTTTTTTGTGGTGTACAGCTTCTAAAACATAACCGTGCAAAATTTATAGGTAGTGTAAGGTGCTAGAAATATGATATTATAGATATATATAAAATCCTAGACGTTATTTTGTTTTTACTGCTTTGCTGCCAATATCTAGAATTTTGCAGTAACTCTCTCACCTCTTCCGTCGCTGGTTCTTCTGGTTCTGCCACAGCAGCAGCTGCTGCAGACTCATCCTGGGAGACAAAGAGGAATAACAGAGATAGGTTAGAGAATGAGACAGATAAAGGTCATAAATAAGGAAGTGGAAAGAATGAAAGAAGGAAGGAGGAACAGACAGACAAGACAAAGACAGACAAAAAGACAAGCAGCACAACCTAAACAGCAAAGTCATAGTTAATGCAGGCATGTTGATTAGACAGCAGGATTAGATACTAATGCACATTTGCCATAAAGATAAAGCGTTTGCACAGGATACTATGTGTGTCGATGTGTGATTAGCAGTGACTGGGATTAATTATGTGCATTGAGAAGCAGATGTCTTTATTCTTTTCTTTCCCTCATCAATTAATTTCCATCTCGCCCTCTGTGTCACAGTTGATGCATCTATGCTGCTGGGCCAGATGCATCCTAAATCTTTCAATCTCAAGATTTCTCCATCTTTCCACCTCCCATTCACAATTTCTCTCTCTATCACCTGCTTCTTTCCCACGCTCAAACCTCCTCCTCAAGAGTCGATGCATCCACCATTTTCCTCAAGATGCATCTCTCTGTTTTTTTTCTCTCCTTGGTTACCTGACCCTCTTCATTATCCAACGTGGTGGCAGCTGGGGTGGCTTCTTCCTCAACGGTGTCCGCCGGAGCCTCAGCTGTAGGTGTGGCAGGCACCTCTGTGACCGGCTGGCTCTCGTCATCACCCCAGCCCTCCTGGGCTTCAGCCACGGGGTCGTAATGAACTGGCTGGCTCCCATCATCCCCCCATCCCTCCTGAGCCGCAGCCACAGGGTCATAGGAAACTGGTTGGCTTCCATCATCCCCCCAACCCTCTTTGGCAGCTGCTATGGGGTCATAGCGGACTGGCTGCGTACCATCATCCCCCCAGGCATCTGTAGCAGCAGCTACAGGGTCATAGTGCTCCTGGGTGTCCTCTTCCTGGGCACCACTTTCCTCAGGCTGAGGGGCAAGGGTCAGGTTTCAAGGAATCAGAGGTCATAAGAGATATTTTACCTTACGGGTATCATTTTTGGAAATCAGATGTTTGAGAACATTTTATTTGAAATAAATAAAGTAAAATATTTTTGATGGGGAAGGGATTAGAAAATTGATAGGGATATTAAAGGGGTACTAAAGGGGTGCATAAGGGTTGTACTACGAGAATGACAGGTAAGGGGTTCAAACATTAAAAGGACCATACGAGTGATTTTGTCTGCTTTAGTCCATTAACTAAAAATTGTGTTTGCTATATCTTATGCTGACTATATTCCATCACTCTGACTCTAGGGATGGCAATGTCGGTCATTCGGCCACTTTGGTCAAGACTAAAATATCTTAACAACCTCTGAATGTATTGCCATGAAATTTGGCACAAACATTCACAATGTCCAGTGAGTGATTCCTACTTAATTTTGTTGATGTTGTTGATCGACTGACTTTTTCTCTTACGCCATCATCTGGTCCAGATTTTACGTTGGTTTATGACTAAATATCTGCAAAATGACACTGGCATCAGCCTCAACTGTAGTCAGTGTTAACTGTGTTAGCATGCTAAACCAAGGCAGGCAAACATCATCAGCATGTTAGCATATCAGTATGTTAGCATGGTGTTAGCATTTTATTCAAAGCGCTGCTGTTCCTAAGTACAGTTTTGCAGCTATTTTAAATGGTTGGCAGTCAAAAATGCCTTAATAAAAGGGCTAAAAACTGAAAAACCATTACAATGGCCTTTTAATGGATGTGAAGATGAATGGGGGTTTGGGGAGTTGCTATCAAGTATTATTTAGACTAAACTGATTTGTCAGATTTAAGGGAAAACGGAGCAGTTTTGCAATCATGAGAAGAAAGGAGGCCATGAAAGACACCAATAGGTGTTCAACAGCAGATGTCAGCAAGTAATCATCATCACCATCATCATCACCATCATCATCATCATCATCATCATAAGACCCAAGAAGATTGATGTAGAAAGATAAACCTTTACAGAGAAGGTTCAGACTAAATCAAAAGACAAATGAAGATAAGGAAAGGTGGCAGAAGAAGGCAAGAAAGAAAAAATAGTCCCATCAGAAGATAGATGTCGGATCTTCTGTGTGTAGTTAGCAAGCATGGTTTATTTTCCCACGGCTATGTTCAGATGGAGAAAGAGGAAGGAAGCTTTGTAAGAGTAGAAGTGTCGCTCCTTTCTGAGCTAGCTTTGCCTCTAACACAGCAGAACAGTACAACTGTTGTGACACATCCCTCTTACAGCAGGTACGGGATGAACACAAAGGTTATTTAATGATCGGGATGCCAAGCTGCAAGCAAGGCTTTGTGAAGTTGCCCACTAACTCTTCAGTCTCATTTCTAGAAAACAACCCACTGCAAACATGAGCAACTTCACTCAACTTTCAGAACACAACTGTTCCCTGTGTGTCACATGGAGCACATCCTGTAACATGTGAACACACAGGGATACAAGGAGAAACAAAGAAATGAGGTCAATTCAGTTTCAAATCATTCTACACAGAAGAGATATTTCATTTACATTCATGGTTAATTTTGTGTACCAGAGTGTGTACATTTGCAGCCATATACAGTATGTTGTATATCACTGTACGTCCTGCTTATATAGGGGGAGGGAAGGGGGAGAGAATAAAACCTCTTGAGAAAGCACTGCATATAGGACAACATTTATATTGATTAGATATATAACTGTGTAAAATGTCCATTTGGAACTGAATTGACTTAATTCCCAAGTTCTATTTGTGCTGTACAACAATCTCTTCAGTGTTTAAGTGTTATCACATCAAGCACTGCAGACACAAGAACAACGCACAAACAGATTTGGGACAGACAAATGAAAGAGGTCCATTAATGGAAAAGACTGTTGATATGCAGAAATGACCATTATATAAGTCCCTGCCCAGCATGTCCTGCATTTGTAGTGCAGGACTGTCAAGCATCCTCCAGCGGTGTAGCAGCAAGCATGATGAGAGTAGGGCTTGTATAACAGTGACATACATAAAGAGTAAATGCAAACAACGACAAATGAAGTGATGGTTGCTATGAACACAAATAAGAATATGCTGATAAAGATGATGATCATAATGGTAATTATATATTTTTATCATTACTTTTAAAAATTCTCTTAGGATGAGGATGATAAGCTTACCCACGAGTCCCAGTTTGCAGGCTGTGGAAAACCAGAGGAAGCAACAAGATGTGAAGACATAACAAAACTCTTTATAAAAAGTTCTTGGTTATGCCCGTTGCATTCAGTAAGACATTTCCAGTGCACAAGTCCCATGCACTTACCCTATAAGCCCATCGCAAGAGATCTTTGGCAGAACAAGAGTACAGGCACTACTCGGTAAAGTGCGAAATGCAAGTGATATAAATCGGAGTAGAGTCTGTTATATGTTTATCGTACAAAAGCTAATTTTATTCAAAATGAATATCATACCCACCATCCTGGTAAAATAATTTCACTGGTATCAGAGGACCATCTTCTAACACCAGGGGTGTAGTGCAAAGGAAACAAAATCTTCTCACATATCTCTCTCATATGCCTTCTGAGATTATTATCCCGTGCTCAGAGCAATAAGTTTAAGGAACAGTAATTTACAGTGTTTATTTTGCCCTGGGTTTTGCCTCACAGACTATATACACAGTATATACTGCTATCTTATTAAACTGCCATTGTCATGATATAACAACTTTCATAAATTGTTATTTTTTCTATTGATATAAATATGTACAATGTCTGTCTGTGGGTAGATGTTCCACTTTTTTTCACGAAAATAGTTGCTAACTTTGTCTCTCCACTTTTCGGTACTGAGCAGATGTTGAGGCTAAACTATACAGTAAATAAACAGGCTGTAAAACAAAAACTCCATGCTGAGCTGGCATTGCACCGGCCCGACTTTTCATGCTTTGTGACTCACAAATTGTTCTATGTAGTGATTTGACGGTTAATGTTGCTATATGCAAAAAAAATATGAAGTATTTTAAATAAAAATTGTCCTCCCAAAATAAACAGGAATTTCTACTTTATGAATAATAATTTTTTCTTGTCTTATCATCAATTATAATTATGTAACGCGTCAGTATTATGGTGTAATCCTGAAACTCTTATAGCTACAGGCTTATACTTCACCATGGAGATTTGGAATTACAATGAGTGCTGATTATTTTAGATTTAAATATAAAAAAATGTAATATAGGTCCACGATTCATAGAATGAAAACGCACAAACACAAAATATCTAAACAATGTCATCTCATCCCTACACTGTCATGACAGGACCAGTTTAACTGGCTCCAGTACCTACCAGCTATGTCAAGGTATACAGTAGGCTACATGCCATTCAACAGTCAGGTACTAGAATGTTATACTGAGGCTTAGTAGCAGACCTGGATAAAAGAGCAGCTGTAATCATTTTTTAAAAAGGTGACATAACATAAGGTGCGCTTAATTTATCTTAACCTCCAAGTAATTTGAGCAGCTTTTAGTCTGCTCTGCTGTACGCTAAGATACAGTAAGCACAACTCAAGTCCATTCCAGTATTTCACATTTACATTCTGCTGTACTTTTGTCCAGGTCTGAAGAGAGAGAGAGAGAGAGAGAAGTCAGAGCAGAGCAGGGCTGTCAGTCTACAGTTCATGCCATGACTGATCTGTGGATTGTGCTAAAGCAGGAAGAAGTGGAAACTAGAAGCAGGTTTCTACAGATCATCATGCCATCATCCACCTTTTGTTTGGAACATCAGAGAGAAGCAGAGCAGGTAACACCTCACACTATGCCAAACTTACCAAGTGACTTCATTTTTTATCCAGACTTATCAAGCTTATTTCAATACATTCAAAGTCAAACAACTGCACTGGCAACTGGCACTGCTGGTCATATTGCAGTGCAAGACTCCTTCGTTTGCACTTCAGTATCATGAAATGAACTCAAAAAAACATAACAACATAAAATCTCTTGTGAAGCTTGGCATTTCTTGCAGTGGAGTGTCTCTACGACTATATTTTCATGCCATGACTCATCCACCTGAGTGACCGTGGGGGCTTTGGTGGTTGCACTGAAAGAGTCCAGGTCCATGTCCAACAGGCTGCTCACTGCAGGACTGTCAAACTGATAACAACAGGAATAGGAGGGCTCATTGGCTAACTGAGCGCAACAGAGGAGGCAAGGAAGTGGATAGAATAGAATAGAATAGAATAGAATTGAACAGAATAGAATAGAATAGGATAGAATAGAATAGGAGAAGGGGCAGGCCAGAAGAAAGAGTATTTAATGGTTCTGACCTGCACAGGAAAAGGGAAAGTTAAAGGGCTATTCCACAGTTCGTCGACAGCAGCTGCTTACTAACCTCTGTAGGGGAAGTCACACTGATATCAGGAGTAGCTGCAGCATCAAACAGGTTGATGATGTTCTCTGTCTTCATCTCCTTTGATGGGGTCACCTTGGGTGGAGGAGGCACTGCTGGCTTTAGCTAAGGGGGGGGAAACAATGTGGTAATGAAGTTGTGCCAGAAGCCACATGAATATGACTTTAACTTAATTTTGTATTCAGTTTTTGAATTTTTTTTTACAAAGAATTAACATGGGCCTCAACAAAGCTGTTAGCTGTTAATAAATCCAAGTAACTATTTAGAATGAAAATAGATACAAATACTGAAAAAAAACAACTGTAGAATTCAAACTCAGATCACAAAATAAACATATTCTCAGTGTGTTTACCTTGGACGGAGATTTGGGGATTGGGGGTGGTCCTCCTGGCCTGAGAGTGTGGTTAGATGGTTCTTTGCCACTGAGTGAATGAGAGAGGGAGAGAGGGAGAGATGGAGGGCAAAAAGAGAATACAGATTACAGAGAGTCACGAGGATGGAAAACGATATGAGAGAAGAGGACAGCAAAGGTTAAAGAGAGCAGCTAAGAGCTAAAACACCACTAGAGAGAAGTTACAAGGCATGCTCTACAGGAGTTCAAGTGGAAGTTGTCATTACAAGAGCTGTCATGCAAAAAAAGTGAGCCTCCCTTCCCTCCATCCTTCCCATCCCATGCAAGCAGGCTTAGTGTGTGCCTCCTGTAAATCCTCACAAGCGAGCAGTAATAAGAGGCATTCGGTGTCATTCAGAAGATGTTCTAAAGCTGACAAAAGCAGCCCCAGATCTGCAGATATTTAAAGAGCTTGGAGCATACCTGCAACTTCCTGCTGGATGAGGCAATTTTCTTCATTGGTGGCTTTGAAAACAACATTACCAAGACTATTACCAACCAGGCACATCGGACAAATACTCTGGGGTCCCAGACCCACAGCCCCAGGAGTGCGATTTAATTTCAACAGGTCTCAGTTAAGGGGAGATGAGATGCTGTGAACCCTGAGATTTTGGGCTGTCTTATTATGTGACAGCGTTGCCTGGCGCAGCATTAAAGACACAGGTTTGCTCATCTCTTGTACATCTGCAGCTCTGAGCACATGACTCTCTGATCAGACAGTGTGTCTGTCTAATTCACTTGCACAAAACCAAGCACTAATTCTCCCTGAAATCTCCCACGCCCGCAGACTGACTGACATATGAACAGCTTGACAGACATGTCAGTTGGACAGACAGACAAGATATGTGTCACCATGGTTACCACAGTTGCTGCCGGTTACCTCCTATTTGCTCCTGACGATGAGGCGCCATGGTTACCTGTCTTTCTGCAAGGGGGTGGAGGGGTTGGGGTGGGGTGAGGGTTCGGGGGTGGCTCCAGGTTAATGCATGTCATTACGTTTGTCTATTCCTGTAGCTTAAAATGTTTGTGATGTGCAGTGTTTTAATCCATGGGTTTCATATTTTCCAGACAGAAGCAGGAACGGAGGGATCAACATTCAACTTTAATCAATAAAATAATTAGTTTTAGGGATCATCTTTTTAATACATTTTTCTACCATTTCTCCTCAGCTAATACTTCAAATGCCACTGCAATTTATTTTGTAGTAAGTATAAAACTGAAAATTTGTGTACTGCACCAAAAAGGTATTTTGGGACTTTTCTGCGTGCTGTCTAAAAAAGAATAAGTGGACAACTGAAATGTCATGCTGGCAGCAAAAGATGTCGGGCTTTAAGACTTAAAATAAAAAATTATTTAAAAAAGTTTGACCCTTTAGCTACAGTAAACAGACTAACAGGGAAAATAAATGAGTTCATTGAAAATAGCCTCGCCACTTAATTTACTGCTATTCTAACTTCTGATGCAGACCATTAAATTCATCAAGCACGATGAGTTATGTCTCTCAAGAGGTTCAAATATTTGCAAACATGTCTGAAAAGATTTATTTTCGCCCGAGTAGAAGGAGCCACAGACATACAGCATAGTAAGTATTTTCTTCACTGGCTGAGACGACCAACCGCAGTGATTGACTGATGAGGCTCAGTGCTCTAAACTGGTTCCCTGGGTTTCACACAACCAGCTGTTCTCTACAAGACTACGGTACATTTTACTTTAGAATTGCAAAAACCTGAGGTTACTGGATTTTTACCTGAGTGTAATTTCAACAAAACACAATATCCCAGTACGTTTGAGTCTGAATAGCATTACTGTTGAGAAAAAGATTTATTGGTGTTTATTTTTGTCACTAGTAACTTTCAATAGACGCTTGAAAAGATTTCTTGACATTCAATTCCATGAATCTCTCATGAGCTACACAATATATTACAGGGCATTCAGCAGTAGAAAGTCTTGCTATGAGAAAATTTAAATAATATATCTTTGTTCACTAACCTGGTTGCGTCTGATCCCTCCAAAGTCTCCAAGACGTCGTGCAAATCCTGATCCAACTGCAAGGAGGAGAAAGAGAACAGTGTAAACTATTACACTGTACAATTCACACAAAATACTGATTTTAGAAAAAACATCACACATTTTTACTCATTAAATCCAATGATCTCACACTGTTACGGCACTGTCTATGACATAATCATTAACAAAACCATATCATCCATGCGCTGCAAAGTTTTACTTGTTTTCATCATCATGTCCAAATTCAGAGAGACAATATTTACAACTCTCAAGCTAAGGAAGTATTACAGGGGATAATCTCACTGCAGTCAGTTAAAACCCCATGTCCTAGTTTTGCTTTACTGGGCCAAAAATAAGAAATGAACTATAGCAGACTTTGCATATGGTTGTGAAAATCTGTGCTGATGTGCAGCAAGAAGTTTTCAATTTTAGATGAAATCTCAGCCCCTATTAATGTAGTCACTGGCACAGTCTGGCACTGTCAACACTGTAAGCTGTTATCTGATATTCTGAGTCAGTTTGTTTTGTCTGGTCTTTATCTAAACGCAGCAGCTCCAAAGAAGCGTCTCACCCGGCTCATTTCCTTGTGAAACTTCTCCTCGAAACCAGCCAAACTCTGGAAGGTGCTGACATAAAACCCAACGCGACTAGAGATAGAGGGAGAGACAGTATTGACTGCATTACTGGCTTGGCTTAGTTCAATATCCTGTGAAGGTAAATGTGGCACAGATGCAAGTGAAATGTAATTATAGCATCTATCCATCAACAGGAAAATCAATTCCCACATGCACTCGCACGTCCACATACACACCTGTTCCAGAGTGAAGGCAACTCCTCTTGCAAGTCAATATTAATCTCCTCAAACACCTTCTGGGCTCTCTCCAACTCCTCCTCAGCCTGAAACACACACACACAAACACACACACACGCACGCACAAACACAAACACACACGCACACAATGCATCAGGCAATGTTCGTGAGAGTGTGTCTGATGTGCAATGGACTATGACGTGCAATATATGCGCACGTGACATCTCCTGCTACTTATGATTATGCTTCCACATGTGTTGTTGTCATATTCATTTCGCCTTCACTATATATTCAACAGTAGTATGTGACAGGGAACGTGAGCAGAGAAAGAGAGCAATGACGCAGTAAAAAATTTCCCCAAAACTGAGGGCCTCCTTATCCCAAGCCATGTGTCTTTGACTACCAGGACGTTCCTTATCACAGCTTCGTAGTCGGCAGACCTCGCAGGAAGTACAGTAAGAGTATTGTGTACCTGGCTCCTGGACAGACTGCTCTGGGCAACGTTGTGTGCAGACAGGATACCCTGAGCCCAGCCTGGAGTGGCCCTCTCCAGCAAAGAGGAAGGCTGGAACAGAGAGGACAGGTTCAAATGGAAAATACTCTTACAGCTTTTCATACACCCAATAAAATATAATTGTATGATTACACACATCATTAGCAGTGCTACTACTGTTTAGGTATCAGACTATTGTGTATTTGATTTACCTTGGTAATTTTAATCCCCCCGTCCTTTTTCTTTGTCTTGTGTGTAGTAGCGTAGTTGTGCCTGGCACTGTCGTAATCGACCAATTTCCTGTCCCTCTTCGCTATACGAGCCTGAACGGAAAAGAAGACAAGAGGAGAATAAGTGCTGGTGTTATTTAATGTCTCTGTCTGCAGTGAGATGCCCGGTTTTCATGCTTCATAAATAAGCTTCTCCTTGTTAGCTACCAGATAACAAAGCATACACGTGTTTGAACTATTAGCTGCATTCATTCAACCATTGATTCAATGTTTGTTTGTTTTTTTTCTCCACATCTTCTTAATAGCCATTTTTGTGTTCTATATTTCGAATTCAACACAGCTGAAATCCAAATAGTGAATGATTATTAAAGCTATAGTAAAAAAGTCTTGCTGCCACAGCATGAATGCTTGATGCTAATCATTTTCAGCTAAGGTTACTACATGTCCTTATAACCACACATCTTACCTTGATATCGGGGAACTGGCCCAGGTAAGTATCCATGGAGATGAGAGCATGATCGACCAACTTCTGGTGGTAATCGGTCCAAAGCACATCACAGTCCTGCAGCATAGATGAACATAATAGCACAATAAAAAAAATCTTGGTGTTAACTCCAGTTGCTCAGTTGCTATGTCTTGGCTAGTGGTCTTGTATTTCAATTAAGAATAAACTGAAATCCTTTTAAGTGATTGAAGTATAATCTTGCAGCTAGAGTTTTGTCTCACAAGAACCATTAATCCAAAAGTAATTTCAAGGGCAAACATAATTAAGTCAAAGGAGAATTCTCACACACACACACACACACACACACACACACACACACACACACACACACACACACACACACACACACACACACACAAAATCAACTAATATACAATAAAGTGGCTATATGGAACCAGCTCGTCCTCACACTCTCACACATGCAGTCATTCGCTGTCTTTTTAACACATTTATCAAAGTGTCTCTGACCTCCACAATGGAATCCACTTCGTTCTTGCCGTACCACTCTGGCTCATACATGTCGGCCAGACACGACTGCAGGTTATTGGAGGACTCATGCATGGCTGAAGACAAACACACATGCTGTACATTAATGGGCATTTATATTTGCAGGTTGAAGTACGTATTTGTGCATCTATGATGGTGCCTACATGTGTGGTTTTGAATGCATATGTCCATTCATCAGTGTAACATGGAATGGGCTTGTGTGTGTGTGTGTGTGTGTGTGTGTGTGTGTGTGTGTGTGTGTGTGTGTGTGTGTGCGTGTGCGTGTGTCACCTTTCACTGCCTCCAGGTACGCTCTAAGGTCCCTCTGCAGTTTGCTGCCTTCAGTCTGTGAGTGAAACATACAACATGAGGCTTGGAACACAAAGAGAGTACAGAGGAGACACGTACAGAGATGTTCCGAGGCTGTTTAGCCAGTTTCAGTTTTAGCAAATTCAAACCTGTTTGAGCTAATGCAAGTCGGTATATGTCAAGAGTACATATATGACTAGAAAGTCTGGCAAGCTACATCTCCCATTAGACCGGTCTGTTATGTAATAGTTTGTACAGTAAAAGGTGATTTGTGGAAAAAAAAAAATTGAAACACAGCTCTGCCATTCAACATGTGTCACTGAACTGCACTCACATATTGTTTGGTGAAGTTGATGACTCCTTCCTCAAAGGCAACATCTTTGGTCTCATCAGCTTTGCCAAGCTTTTGGAGAACCTGCCCATCCAAACAAATAATAACATTAGTTGACAATACCAAGGGTAATTGTGGCAATTGATTCTGCTCAGTTCTCAGTGTCTGCCATAAAAAACAAGAGGTCGGTTTTTGATGCTCCTTAAAATACAATATACAATGTGAAGATTCACCCGTTTGTCCTGACCTCTTACTCTCATTTGCATGAATGGGAAAATGAATTGCTTGTAAAAGCAATGACACACACACAGTACATAGATAATGCCAGTATTAAGCCAAATCTACAGTACATTTCACACATTCTTACATTACTGTCACATTCACACATATGATGTACAAAGGCTTTGCTAGGGGACCATCTGTTTTATCTGCCTGCCTCTCTTCGGCCCAACAGTTCATGATGCATTTTGATAGACAAGTAGCGCCCCCTGTCATTTATTCTGCGCACAACTCGCAGGTGCATTAACGCAAAGACTAGGCCCCTTATTTACCACTTACACATATTGCAGCATGGGTGTTAAATATTATCATGGCGCCAGGAGCAGGCAAGAGCGTGGGCAGCAGTCACCATCTGTGTGACAACCTTGCGAAAAGAGACAGGTATTGACTTAAATGCCAGAACCACATCAGTCATCAGGCTAAATTATGAGTAGGCCTACAGCACATCTGACTGCATTACGAACGTGTCCGCTGCATGACATTGGCTAACAGAGGGGTTTATTTGAAGTGGCCATCCCCGTCCCTCAAACACATCATCCCTGCTCTTAATATTATGATGTCGTGATGCGACACTGCGCCTCGGTGCTGGGGGATGCGGCACTGCTGCTTCGCAGCTTGTAGGCCTGAAACATCATTTCCCATATATTAACGCGGAGCAGGAGCAGCTCTTTGCTTACCTTCTCTTGGGCTCTGGTTAGTTTTTTCTGGACGTTGCTGGCCACTTTCCCTGCAGTCAGCCCCTTCCCCAAATTCAACTCAGCCATCTTGTAGCGTAGATAGGTCTTTGGATGCAGGAAGGAAGGAACTAAAAATAATAACGATCGAAGGGACCGCTACGGCGACCGTAGGAGCAAATTCATCAATGTCCAGTGGAGAAATAACGTCGATAAATGTAATAATGAGATGGTATGATGTATCTACAGAATTAGGCCTACGTGTTTGCAGAAAGCTAAGCTGTATTCTCTGATATTGAGCCGCTGTGTGCGCGTCCGTGACAGAGGAGGAGGATGCTGCGAGAGATGCTCTTAAAGGCACAGCTGCTGCCGCGCACGATGGAGACTAGAACTGGTAAAGCTAAAACATGAACATAATCCAGTGTTTCTGAAGAACATGATGCTCTCTACAACGCTCTTTGGTATTTTTTTGTAATCTCTTTTAATTCTTTGTTTAGCTACAATTTGGCTCTAGAGCCGAGGATCATGAAGTTGGGTCTTAAAGATAAATGTCTTAAATTCGGAAGAAATAAAAGATCCTGAGGAACATCCATAGCTGACCAAAAAAGAAAAAAAAAGAAAGAAAAAAAAAGAAAAGCTCAAACAATGAGCCACAAACAAACAGCTGGGGATAGCGACCCCTCCAAGCATGCAAGTGCATTAATGCTTCAACCACATGCGTTTCAGTGATATAGGCTAATATGGTTACGTAACACGTGAAGTGTAATGCAAGATAAAGAACAGCAGTGAACAGCAGCTCAACAGTCAAGTGACTGAAGGAATTAACAGTTGGAGTTTACTGCAGTAACAATACAGTAATGAAATGGCGTAATGTTATCTGCAGCTTAGGTTGGGTTGAATAGATAGAACGAAATATCATTCAGTATGACCAGACTTAAAACAACCGTTTTGAAGCAACCCTTCTTCAAAACGTTCAACATCAGGCTGTAAATGATGACAGAGCAGCAGGGGTGCAGGGCTGTAAAAAAGTCCCAAACTAGCACGCTTAGCGTAGATGGCAACTTGTACTAGCACTAGCACCAGCGCTGGATCTGATAACCTGATGTGTCCTTTCCCTGAGGATACACACTCAACCACATTTGCCACCATCCAGAACAGGATTTGTGTGTTCATGTTCCACTCTGCTCCACGAGGAGCTACTTTGTACTCCGGGAGATGGCGCTATTGGCTCATATCATATCCACATAAATACAGAATCTATACAGGGCTTCGAGTCCTCCACTTTTTAAAATCTGGCTGTCTTTGCTCAAGGGCTTCAACAGTCTGGTGAAGGATTAAGGCTTTGCAGAAGTGAACAGAGGACAGACTGCTAACATCTCAGTGACCCGCTCATGGCTACAAGTTGGCTACATTTGTAAAATGTTTAACATCCCTTATAGTATACTTAGATCATAATTTGTTATCCTATTCTATGATCAGCAAATCAAACTGCATGATGAAGTACAGCCCTTTGTTGTCTCAGGTGGTTGGTGCTGGCTTGGAGCTCTCCAGGGTCCTGAACTCACACTGCTGGTGCGGAGGGGACTGACAGGCAGCAGAACAAAAGGCTCTCCAAGCGGTACTTATGTTTTGTTTTGTTTGGTGTTGTTTTTTCCCCTACTATTACACTGGATGTAATTATATCTCTGTTGCATAATCTAGCATGAGAGCATGCTTTGGAGAAATCCTGCTTGCATGTAAGAGGAAAAATGGTTTAGTGTTGAGGAGGTTGGGTTTCACAGGGAGTGATGATCCAGTTCTCACAGTCCAGAAAAACAAACAAGAAACTCGTTCCGATATACACAATGTCAAATAAGACATGTTGTTATGTCATAACATTAATTACTTGAAAAAAAAAAAAGTGTTTTTAATTTTTTCTGATGACACTAAAGCTGTCTGTTTTCTTTATAAATACACCTCCTTTGCATCCTTCCTGTCTGTCCCTCCTCTGTTTTCTTTTTTGGCCTGTGTCTTTCTCTCTCCTCCACTTTCTCCCTCCCCTCCTCCCTTTCCCTCTCATTCCCTTTCCCTCCCCTCTTCCTCCCCTCCTGTCTCCCAGTCTCTTTATCCCCAACAATAACAACATTTGGCCACGAGTCACCAAGCCCATTCGTTCCCATATAATCACATGAATAGCTCCTCTCGTCTCCCCTCCACTACCACCCCACCCCATCCCATCCCATCCCACCCCACCCCGACCCCCTACACTCCCCCCTCCTGTGCTGCGGGAATGGTTTAACCCGTTGAGAGTGAGAGAGAGAGAGAAAGAGAGAGAGAGAGATTAAGAGAGAGACAGGGAGCACAAAGGAAGCGCGTATAGTGGTCGTTTAGGAGGGATATAATTGGGCGCATGATGTAAACATGGAATAAAAACCGCAAGGCTGCATCTCCATTTCCCGTCGCTCTGGTCCATTATCGGCGTTCAATATTACATGAGGTGCTGGCTAACAACAGCTCGTCTGTCTGGACACGGGAGGCGGGCAAGCAAGTGAGAAATAAGCCAAGAGCGGAGGAGAGGAAAGAGGAGTTGGGCATTGTTTCATCTTCGCTTCAAAGGTTTCTGGAGTTGCTCTCTGGCTTTGGACCGAATCCGGTTCACTGAGACACGATGCTGGGTTTTTCAAGCTGACCGAGCCGACAAGTGGAGATTTTCTTGTCTTCTTTCCATCCGCTTTGATTTATTTTGTTGTTGTTGTTTGTTTTTTGTTGTTTCTTTTCTTTTTTTGACTGGACTGTGAAGACCGGAAACACACGCTGATATGTTGCATTTCTGAGGTGAGTGAGTTTTCTTTGTTCACCTCAAATTACAGCGCACAGATTTTTATTGAAACCGAGTCTGACGCGTGCCAACAAATACAAGTGTCACGTTCTGTCCAGTAATCCCCATCCAACAGCAAGAACGAAGAAGCATCCACATTTCCTAATGTTAAAATGGTTCCCAAAAGCCAATTACACTGCCCACAGCCCTACGCCCGTCACTGTAATTGCCTTCGAAAATTAGACACATGGAGGACTACCCCAGCGCTGCTATTGTTTCCCCTCTATTGTTTTCAAACCGGAACATTTGGTGCTCTTAAACAAGACACGAGCTCTTGGAGACCCCTCATCGGTCGCATATCAGTGACAGCCAGATGAATCCTTCATGATGTGTGGGAATTAATTATTGAATAGACTAAACTCTGAATTTGATACCCGTGTACATAATTGGCTTGGACAGCGTGTAAACACTAAGAGCCAAATTGATTGAACGTCACGTGCATCCATATCCCATCCACATCTATCTATCTATCTGACAGAGAAAGAGAAAGCAATTCTTTCTCTCACTGGATTTCTCTCTCCCTCCACCTCCGCTCTTCTTCTGGGAACAGTAATAGCACATTAAACATCTTCATAATTAGTAGTTTGCCAGAGCAAAGAAGAAGTAATTATAGACAGCAAGCCTGCTGAGCTAAGTGTGCAGGCATTTTCCTTTTATTTCCTTTGTTAAGCATGCAAATGTTGTCTTGGTACCACATACTAGTTCTTTTCTGAGAACAGGCAAAGCTTGAACTTGTGTGTTCTCTTTCCCACTTCTACGGTTTAAGATATCATTATTCAGAAGTGAATCAAAACAAAACCGTTAGACATAAAAGCTGTAGTTAGCTGCTGCCACTTCTCCATTTTCTCCATTCTAATAATGTGTTTGTGTGTTTGGTTTTGTGAGACCAGTGTGCACAGATGTCCATGTCGTTCAAGGAAGAGCAACATAAACCATCCACCCAGAAAAAATTGTAGACATTCACATACTGTGCAAGCCTTCTACTACAGGGAAAAGGAAGGAATATAACACTGACATACAACAGCATAAAATGAAGAGCATGATTATACAGTTATCAGCTCCGAATCGTCTTTAAAATGACAGATTACAAGGAACATTTTGGCTTTCTGCAAGCATGAAAAATGACCAGGTGCAGTCTATTAGAGGAAATAAAATTACATCCCTGACCGGAGATCTCTTGAGATATAATGACAGATTTGAAGGTTGCACTGTATTTGAATAGCGGATGCTGGGGAAAGGATGCCATGGGAAGAAGCATGAATAAGACGGAGTGTGTACGAGTGTGAAGAAACCATTGTGCTGCTAGTTACTGAGTGCTGTTGTTCAGCTGATGCATTGGAGGGTGCTCTGGTGTCAACCCACGGGGGTTTCTTACTTGGTAGTGTTATTAAATCTTTTAATAAGACTTGCCGCCAGTCTGTGAATCATTTCCTGAGCTGAACTGTGAATCTGTGGCCTTACCACAGACGATACAGAGTATGTTTAAGGAAATTAATAGTTCAATAACGCTACAATGGAAATGTTAAGTAAATAGCAGAGCTCTCAGTTGTGTTTTCACCCAGCTAAAACACGGCTAAGCATGCTTGTTGTTTCACGACAACACACAGTTTTCACCTGACAGTGCACAGTGACAGGAGTTATTGAGCAAAATGAAAGTGTTTCACATTTACTTTCATCTCCAATAATGTCCAAAAGATAGATAAGATGGATGAGGAGATGGATGAGGGACAGTCAGAGGGACAGGGAGGTGATAGAAATGTGCAACGTGCAATGGGACTCAATCCCATGGCTTTTGAAAAGTCCATTAAAAACTCGAAAGAGACCCCCAAATGGTGTTTTGCCTGGCATTGCCTTTGTCTGGCTAGAGATCAAAAAATTCTGTCTCCTCGTGGCATTTTCATTCTCTGTGAAGCTGGCAGAGGTGAGAAAAAGCGCTTCCTCGGATTTTGCACAGGCCTAGAAGAATATCTTTGTTTTTAGACTTTGTCTCTTCAGAAATATCATCCCGATGCCTTTGAATACTTGAAAGAAAACAGCCCAGTCAAGACAAACAAACATAAATATTGGAGAGTATGGATAGGGCAGCTTTCAACTACACAAATATTGTTTCAAATTGTAATATTGGCCTCATCATCCAATATTTTACAATATAAAATGCTTTAATAGATCTCAGTATTGAGGGAAGGAATGGGTACCATAGAGAATATCATTCACTCAGACGATACAATTCATGGATTGCCTGTGTTGCAATGCTCTCACTGCGCAATGCTTTGATGATGAGTTATATAAGTGCAGTGAACATAAGCCAAAAAGACTCAGTCTCAAGACGGGGTACAAAACGTCTACAGTGGCTTCTCTGTCTGACAGAACTAGTCTGCAACAGGCCTGAGTGTTTTTGTTATATATTTAAGAGACAGACGGATGATGGGTTAAAGAGGGCAGACAAGGAGACGGTGAGGGAGGACAGTGAGTGGAAATGGAAGTTATTAGAGAAATAAATATAGAGAGTGAAGCGAAAAGGGAGAAGTTAGGAGGAAGAGAGGGTTTGCGTTATGACTAATGAAAAGTGGGGACTGAGATGAATACAAACAAAAAAAATCCCAAGAGAACCCCACTTCCATAAAATTAGGAGAATGGACTTCAAGCAGGATGATTAGAGTGGAGAAAGAGATGGAGAACAAAGAAAGAGAGGAGTCAAAAGAGGGAGGAGGGTGAGAGGAAGGATGAGTGTAAGGGAAGAGGAAAGGGTAAAGTCGATCCTAATCCCATTAATACACACCAGTGCTGTCCTTCCCACTGGCATGTTCACATGCGTGTGTGTGTGCGCACACACACATAGACACAGACACCACAACACAACATACATTTTGGTGTCAAATACTAATTACATCTCACTCTATAAGTCTCTCTCTCTCTCTCCTCTCACACCCAACACACAAACACACACACACACACACACACACACACACACACACACACACACACACACACACACACACACACACAGTTTCAATGTACTGGTCAGATATAGTGCTGTTTGTTATTCAGCTCAACAGTATGCTGCATGGACGTCCTCTTTAATGATTTGGCAACTCTATACACTAAATGTACAGACGTCAGTCCTCCATCAGCATAATGAGGACAGTGTCAGGTTGAGAGCCACTAGTTTCAGCCAGATCCGACTCACAGCATATAAGAGCCCTCTGGTGTTGTGGCATTTTGTGTGTGTGTGTGTGTGTGTGTATGCTTGGCTGTCATGGTGGTTTTAGCTGAAAGGGTCTATCTATACAATCTTGGAAAACACGTCTGCTGTATCTATAAATAACATTTATGTCGTACATGCGAACAATATCTGAGAAATGTGTGGTAGGTGTGTGTGCAGAGGCATTTGGTATGTGTTGTTTATAAGGTATGTGTGAACTTTATGTGTTGACTGTGTTGTGCTGTCTCTCACAAGCAAAGACTGTTCTGTGGAATAGGGAATTCTGGTTCATCTTGAGTAGAATTGTGGACAATATTTAACTTAAAATGTGGCCAAGGAATCAGTGAGGTCAGTGGGCATTCCTCATGCACAATGTATTGCAGTGCTGTATGTATGTGAATGTGTGTGCTAACATGGTAAATATCAACTAACACAGCAATCAGGAAGAGTAAATGGAAAGCAAAGCTACAATTGAATTCAGTAATTCAGGACGGGTCTACAGAGAGACAGAGCTGAGAGCAGCTAATAGGAAAAGTAAAACATTGAAGGCAAGGCACAGTGTGTATACTGTGTGTGTGTGTGTGTGTGTTTGTGTGTGTGTGTGTTACTCGACTCTACAGTATGAACCACAGCCTCCAGTCGTGTGTTCTCATCATCACAGACAAAAAGGTACTGTGTGTTTGCCCCTGGTGGAAAAGGAACCAAGTGTATTTGCTCAGTTCCGGTACTCAAGAACAATTTTGCGGTTCGTGCACTTACATCATACATCACATACAGTAAAAGTTACTTTATACTTATACTCCATTACATTTCATAGGCAAATATTGTACTGTTTGTTCCAATATATATATTTAGTTACTTAGTAGATCATGATTCTACAAACCTATAATGAGCATATAAAGGCTAGTGGAGTTTTATACAGTTAATTAAACTACATGTCAGTGTATCAACCTTTTTTTTAAAATTAGCTCCACCTGGACCACATACAGCATTAAAATGGTGTTTACATATTAATGCATAATCACAGTGGCCATTTCTAGTACTAGAGCACTTTTTGTACAATACATTTAGTGGCTAAAACTTGGATTTTACATTTATTTATTTGTGTATTTGTACATTCTGGAATTGCTGCATTTACTTATGGAAAAGATCTTAATACTTTGACGACTGGTAATCTCTAAGCATACAAGGCAGTCCCATCCTCAGAAGAAAAATGGAGAAGAAAAAAATCTGTATTATTTTTTTTCACTGCTCACTGAAAGTGGGAAAAAAAACATAATGAAGGAGCATAAGAATAATTATGTAGGAAGTGGAGACATAATGGTTTTTACAAAAGATGGAAAATTAGTCTCTGCTAATAGAAACAACATTGATCTCAGTTACCTGTGCAATGCCTGTGGTTTCATGCATTTGGAGTGTTTGTCTTAATGTGACACTGTTCACTTCTGAACAGCCACTATATCAGCTCATGGGGACATTTGAAAAGAGACAAATGGATCCATGTGGGACTGGAGACAAATTTAACACTGTGGCTTAAAGTAGGTCTAGTGTTCGGCAGGAGAGGAGGAGAGAGAAAGAGCAAAGTGGTTGAAAGCAGCAGCGAGACAAATGATGCTGGAAAGAGAGACGATGAAAGACAGAGAATGAGCCGTAATCTGATGAAAGCCTCTTTACTCCCCTGTCACCTCACCTTCAGGTCACAAGCAATGACCAAGGCTTAGAGGGGGATCAATGCTGAGGCCACCAGCATACGCA